CACACTGCTAGCCCCCCCCCCCTCTTATATGTTATGGATGACTTACCATGGAACCCGCTTCAAAACCGCATCCTCGTGATCCTGAGGTGAAAATGAGCTTCATCGTCCTCCTTTACATGACTATGGGAAAATGCTTGATTAAACATGACAAGTCCTCAAACCCTCAGAAAAACGCAGACAAATCAATAAACTGATAGAAGGACCCAACGAATCGCTGCAAAAAATAGCCTATCATCTGCGCAGGGGTCGAAACATATGTGTGCAAAGTTCTAGCTGACTCGGTTGAGTGGCGCGCATTTCTATAACGCACATACCCTCCAAAATGACAATTTTCGAATTTGATATATTAGGTTGATTCATAATTACTGCACGTTTTCTATACTTCAACTTTCAGCCGAAATAATTCTTTTTTGAAAAGACATTTCTGGGCGCAATCAAAACTACTGTAAGCATCAAATCAGTGACTATAAAAGAAATACTTTTGCGTGACTGTATTTTTCATAAGAAAGATTTTCTGGCTTAAGATTGTCAACAACTTTTTTCAGAAGCCTCTACTTTGAGAGAGCATAACTTAGGTTAAAATAAAGTAGAGCAGACTTCGCTCATCGTGTAGCCGAGGGTCTCTTGAACGGTTATGACAAGCTTGGATTTTACGGAAAATATTTGAAAGAAAATATCGCGAAGAAATCGATACTCACTTTTTTCTGTCATCTCGGCGGGTTCAAAATTCGGTCATTTTTGATTATTTCATTTTCTCCGCTTAAAGTGAGAAATCCCTATCGCTTTTCTACCATCAAATGGACTAGGTCTACCCTTGCTGGCTAGTGAAAAGACCTGCAATCGCCTTTTGCTTGAAAGTTTTATATGGCGCGGAAGGGCCGCGACGATCATTCAAGTTTGCAATCAAATTTCTCCGCTCAGAATTCATGAAGAACTTTGTTCAAATAGCATCTTGTAGCACAAAGTTTCCTAATCCTTAAACATATTTTTTAAAATTAATCCGGCTACTCCTCATGGATTTGGGGCGAAAAGGGTGAAAGGCAAAAAATTTGTGATTTGGTCTCTTTTATTTAAAGGCTCAGAACTTTGAAATGAACAGAGATATACGAAAGCGAAAAGCCATTCAAGAAACTAGAAAAAACGCTCTTTTAGATAGCATTAAAAGTTTTTAAGGGAATTGACTACACAAATACCAGCTCTTGGAAGAAGTAGTGAGAAAAACGTGCATTAATTATGAATCAACCTAATATATAGATATGATACAAGAGCAGTGCATCACCTCTGCTTCGCAGAGGTTCGCACTAGTTTGCTATCTGTGTACCTTCATCGTGATCGCATAATAATGACTTTGAAACTGACCGCGCGATGCCGATCATCACGAGTGAATTGTAAACAACCATTTCCAAAGCTTTTCCATGTAAAATCGGTAATTTTGGGAGAAAAAAGTCTCCCGCAGAAGAACGAATGCGATTTTGAATGGGTTACTGAGATTGTTTTGGACTTTTATAGTCGCCATAAAGATAAAGCCACCTTAGGCTACATCTAATTCAAAAATCCTTTCAATTTTCAAGGTAAAAACTTGGCGTTTGCGCAGTTACACCTTTTTGGCGCCGATTTTGTGTAATAAAAGACTTTTTGCTCACATTGGTCAAAGTCAATGTTTTTCGGACTTACTTGTTGAACAAATCCAAGACCTAGCGAAAAGTCCAATTATCGACCCATTTTGGCAAGCCAAAAGTCGCGTGGATCCACTTGACGCACAGTTTTCAATGGTTCCACTTTCTGGATCGGCTTATGCTTTTGCACGGTTTACCTACACTCTGATTGGGGGCCATGGCCAAAATTGTAGCGTAGAAACTTGGCTGCAACGCGTCTTATGAATTTCGTGACAGACACATATTCAGACAGACAAACAGACGTAAACAACCTTTAGCACGTTATTATTGAAGACATTGTCCAGGTCAACGGGGGGTTTTGGACGCCGCGCGGGAGCACGGCTCCTGACTAATGCAACTCAAGTCCGAATCAGAAAGGTGGATTAAGCGAGAAAATCACTCTGAAAAAAAAACGGAAAAAGGGGGCGGTCCGCCAATACCGTCCCCCTCCTGACTAGTGCAACTCAAGTCCGATCTAAAAAGGTGGTTCTGAAGCGAGAAAATCACTCCGAAAAAAAAGCGGAAGAAGGGGGCGGTCCGCCAATACCGTCCCCTTGACAAGTTTTGACGTGGTTTATACATTGGACATACAGCATTCGCCACGTCAAAACTTGTCAAGGAGGCGGGATTGGCGGACCGCTCCTTTTTTCCGAAGCGATTTTCTCGCTTCAGAATCCACTTTTTCGATCGGACTTGAACTGTTCCATTAGTCAGGAGCCGTACTCCCGCAATGCGTCAAAATCCCACTACCCACCATTTGACTTGGACAATGCCTTTGAGTCATGATATTCAGTATGAACACTACTAAAACTGCAAGAAAATCACAGATAAGTACTATACAATTTATCGAAAAATAGTTACAGTATTATTAATAATAAAAAGCTAAATAAGGTAATCAAAAAATTTACAATAATAACAAATAAGTACAAATAATACACGATTCTGGGTCTTGTTTCCTTACGAAGGAGTTCCGGGGAAGACCTAGAACTTATTTTATACTCCGTCTAGGGGAAGGGGCGAAACGGAGTGACGTTGCTTGGTGTTCTCGCAAAATATTCTAAATCTCTTCAATTTTGGCTATGGTTACACTTGAAAAGTATTATCATTTCAATTTTATTTCTAGTTTATTATACCGTAAAGAAGGGATCTCGAACTGAAAAAAACAAGGGGGAGCGGACTGCACAGGAGTTTGGCATTGGGGCGCGATATCTAACGAAACGATTCTGCAAACAAAATGAAGACAAGAGACCGGAAAAGGGCAACGATATAAAAATGTCTCTCTACTTATAGATACTGTCTTGAGCCGTGAATCCACCCTTGACAAAAAAAATCAAAAACTTATGCGAACTTACAGAAATGTATGCCGCCTACCACTTCAGTTTCAACAGTGGCGGGTATATGTCAAGATGAACGATAGCTGGTACCAGTGGCGCGCGGGGTCATGAACTGACAATAACGTTTCGCTCAAAGCTCCGCCCTACTGCGGCGGACGAGTTTCTCGGACGATACCGTCAAGAAAAATAACTTTTGATAGTGAGTTATAATTATAAACAAGCTCACCCCAGCTTGCAAAGCTTAAGCTTGTTGCAAGCTGGGGTGAAGCTTGACTATTTACAGAACCCTGTTTTGTTTTTTGTTTCTTTTTTGCAATCAGTGAACAATTGATGTGTAGGTCGTGAAATTCGAGATTTGCTGATTTACCTATGAATGACCGAGTGACTCCTGTATATCCAACTTTATAGTGTGAAATCAATCTAGAACACCTTAGGCATGATTGTCTGAGTGACCTCACATCTTGCGACTAGTGCACACGCAATTCCGACTGAGTAGATCGATTTATATTGAGGATAGCAGTTTTTGGAAGCAAAATAAAAGAATTTTTCTATTTAAAGCAGATTCGAAAATATATAACTGCAGTATGATTTCCCTGAAATCTGAGAAATTATGTGATACTTGCAAACTCAAACTCAAACGCATACTTGCAAAACGAGTTAGTTTGCTTGAAACAAAATTTGCTATAATGCTTGTTTTGAATTCTCGTCGCAATGAAATCTGTTTTTAGCTATTATTAGGGTTTTAACAGTTACTTTTCCGATGAAAGAGATAATGGTGTTGGTTATTTCAGCAATAATAATAGTATTTCTCAATAAGCTGACTTCTTTTTGAACTAAACTTGAGAGTGCACAACAAATCATATTCAATATGGTAACAGTGGATAGAGAAAAACACTTTTTCAAGCATTTTCGAAACAATTTCCTCATACCTGCAATGAAAAATCATTTTGGACAAACCTACTAGGAATAAGTAATTGAAATAATTAGAAAGAGCTTGCGTACTAATTTTATAACGAAAAATGATTTGAAAACTGATTTTCAATTTAACTGAAATTTTGAAATCTACTGTTATCCAAATCGCAACCAACTGAAGAACCATGAACGAAGTATTAAAGAGTTTTCCAATATCTGCAACGCATTCCTAGGCTAATTAATAAGGGGGCGGAGCGATCAGCGCACCGCGTACGGTACCCAGCTGGCGGCTGGCACATGCTATCGTTCATCTTGACCGCCACCCAACAGTGGCTTCTGAAGAGGAACTAAATGTGAAAGAGGTATTACTTCATATGAATTTCGAAATTTTCTTGACACAATTTTTCCGAATAAGGTTCTATGCACACAGTCCAAATTTGGTATTAAATCATTGCGTTTTGGTTGTAAACGAACATATTTTAATTCAGCCTCGCATTCAAAATGCACGTTTTGCAAGACACGGTACAACATACCAAACGCGTAATAAATAATTTGTTTCTTGAATCTGTACTCGTCTGAAGTTGGTCATATGCCTGTATAGCATGTTTCACGATATCCCCTTTGCCTTTTGTCACAAACACGATCCATTCCGCCTGCAGTCGATCTATGCTGAGCCCTGGTAGGGAATTGTCACCGATAGGCTCCAACCCGCGCGACGGCTGGTACAAATCTGTGGTATCTGTAAAATGTACGGTTGGGTGCTCCGCTGCAAACGTCCTTGTGACACCACCCTTTTTGCGACACGTAGTCCCCTACTATAGAGCGGTGATCAACCTGCGTCCATGTGCAAATGCGTTAAACTGCTGTAAAATGCAGTGCTGTCTCCCCGCACTCGGTATTCCAGCAGTACTTGTTGCCTAACTGCGCCCTACACTTCCCACTGTAATCAAATTTTAACACAAAATGCCTCAAAACTATAGGAGTTCCAGTTATGCATTTTTTCGCTGAGATCATTTTTGACAAAAAATTAGTAATTTAATCACAACCATATCACATATTGCTTGATCAATGTCCCATATGGCATTTCTCATTAACAATGAGCATTTTCAAAGATAATCGAACCATCAATCAAAACATCTTTTATTATATAGATGTAAATGGGCATAACACGTTAGGGTAGTAAAGATTAATAGTAAATTTTGAAGGCTCAAAATTAGCGACGAGTTGTATTTAATATCGAAGAGCAACTAGTTGGCTAGAAATAGCTTCCTACGGTGGAGAAGAGAAAGAAGACGTTGCAAAAAGTTGCTTAATACATCACCACCGTACAAACCGAAATATCTTTCTGTGGTGATGTGCACGTCTACACTCGTCGACTGTCTGGGTGTACTCAATTTTAGAAAGCACACGCACTTTTCAGATCGAGGTAGCCGATGCACAATCACCAAAAGCAAATCTATTACAGCAATACACTGGCCCGCCACGCACCGGTAAGCATATTAACCAGATCAGATCGAGCCAAAGGAAGCGAGAGGACAGAAAACACACGAATACAGGAAAGAAAAAGAGGACAAAACGCCACAATATCGGCAATGCGCCAGAAAACGACGCACGCACGCTGTATAGTCTATACAATCGCCAGCAAATGTGATATTTGTGCAGAACGGGACGCTAACTGCATTGTCCCCCAATGCTCACCCGGTAAACACATCAAACCAACTCTGGACTCCGAATACACAAAATTGAGTGAAATACTGGAATATAACGAATTCAAAAAAAAAAATTTGCGGCGAAAATATATCGCCAAACCGAAGAATTCTAGATAGGGAAAAATGGTCTTATGTGAAAATGAAATGACATACACCCAACACACACGCACACAACAAACTAAACATGCACCAACGAACCGGGCGCGCCTACAACAACATCTCAGCTAGAAGAAATTAAAGGAAAGAAACAAAAAATAAAGAATAAAGAATAAGGTCTACAACAACAGATTAGGAATAAAGAAAATGAAAATGAATAGAAATTACTTTCTGTGCAGTCAGAGGAGACGAGGTCCACGCCCAGTGAAGCAACCTATCTATTTGGTCTGTTCGGTAAGTTTACGTTCCAGCTCTTCCAGACTCATCGGACGAACAGACGGTGGTGGCATTCTCGTTCCGTGACCTACCGTCTGAGATGCGCTTGGAAACGAGTTTGTTGTCTCCGATGAGTTGCCGGTGAACTGGGAAGGCTGAACACCAGCCGCAGCGAGCAGTTTCTCCAGAGGACTTTGGATAGGACCCGCCAGATCGGCACCAACACCGAACGAAGATGAGCTAGCGAAGTTTTGCGAATTGCGCTCAGGAGCACTTGGGACCTGTAAAATAGGTGTACCAGTAATCGCAGGGCATTAATCAAGGTATCATCAAACAAGAAATAGAAAAAATGGGTGCAATCATTATTTGTAATCGTTATTATTAGGAGTGCTTGAGAACATGATGCAAAAGTAAGCAAGAACCAACCTGCATCCCAGCTGCAGCGACTGCTTGTTGATGGCCTTGCTGTAATTGCATAAGTTTTGCTGCAAGTGCCGCCTGTTGCTGTTGTTTCATCCGAAGCTGCTGCTGAACATGTGCCAACTGTTGCACCTACAAAGCGAATGCTGCCATTTTCTATTTTCTGAATCACTAGTCGTGAATACCTGAGCCATTTGCATGAGCATTTGAGCTTGAGCTTGAGCATTTGGAGGTACAGCATTTCCGCCATTAGGTGGTGGAGGACGCCATGCCGCCATGGGAAGTCCACCTAAATATTTTGTAAGACTATTGAAGGGAAGACTACAATATAAAAGGCATGAATTCATTGGATTTTAGAGAGATTTGAGCATAAGCGAAAAACTGCCATTCCACTTTGATAAGTCAAGAAACTTTAGGCAGAAACAAAACTTCACAAATGAATGGTTGACGCTAAAGCTACAGAGATCATGGAGATGCGTATGAATTCTTTGAGAAGATTTCTTACCCTGCATGGCATTCATCATCGCAGCATACTGATGTTGCATATGCATCTTCTTCAGCAAATCCGCATTGTTTCGCGCAGCAACTTCAAGCGGGTCTAAATTTCAGAAACTAATCCGTGATTCAAACAAACAAGTATATTACTTACTACCTGTATCAGTCATATGCTGTGTAGGACTACCATCCTGTTCGGCACGAGCACCACGATGCGCACCATCTTCCGGTGTCGATGTACTTGCCTTCATTTGACGTTGCACAGACGATGGAATCATTTGTGTTGGAGGACGCACCTTCAATGAGAAATTGCTTGTAGCAGTGGTTTCGCTCTAAAACGACAAAAATCGATCACCTTTCCTAACTTTTGCGCAGCTGCAGCAGCAAGAAGCTGTTGCTGCTGAAGACGTACAAGATTTGCACGGATATGGTCTGCTGCAAGATAAAAATACAAATGATACTGCTAGCTCTGTCAATTAATAGAGGAAAGTTTGATAACATATATGTAAAAGTTTTGAAAAAATTGAAACTTGAAAACTACAAGAGAAAAATTTACAAGTGATGACACATATATGTAAGTTTAGAATAAAAAACTTGAAACAATCGACATACGCATGTGTGCGGGAGGAATCCCAACACCTCCATTCGTCTGAGCCGCCAACTGTGCAGCCATTGCTTGTTGAAGTTGCGCTTGAATATGCGCTTGTACTAAGGCTGGATTCTCCGCAGCCATTCCTTTGAGAAACCTCATAAAAGCATATTCATTGATTTTCCGCATAACTTACGAGCTAATAAAGCCGGTGGCACCATAGGTGCACCAGGTGGTAACACTGGTGGAATGAACGGCGATGCTCCAGGAGGGAATACTCCGCCAAGAGATGGGACTACACCGGCTGGCGTAGTTGAAGCTGGTCCTGCGGCTGGTAGAGGAGCGCCCTCTTCCTGAGACATAGATGCCTTTATAATAAAGAATACTATTCAAGGAATTGTGCGTTCAGACTGCAACCCTGTCATAGGTAACAAAAATCAAAGTAGCGAAAAAAATGACTGCGACTGGTCGATACTAAGGAAAATTTCGATAAAACTAGCAAGACTAAAATGAGTGAAGGTGACTTTTGATGAATAAAACGATATATCAGGCGAGTTATCCTTTAGTCGATATTTCAAAAAAGCAGCAATCGATTCTATCACGAATGCGTAATTTATAGCCAACCAGAAATAGCCAGCCATACATTCAGTAACCAAAAAATATCGAGCGGATGTAGTACCACGGGATGAGATGGAACACCACACAATCAATTACCAAATCACTATTATGATCATTCCGACCTTTACTTAGCAACCCTTATCCCCTGCAAGAAGACAATCCCTACGGTTCCAAACAATCTAGAAACTTGTACTCTCCATTTTTCGATCCAGCACATGTCAACATGTGACCAACCAGTTACGAAAGCACGCGGTTCGAATTACTGCGTTTTCGTACATAAAAGACAACATACAAGTTCATAACCACTAGCGAGCGGTTTACACAGACAAATTTATCGTAACCTTTTCAACACAGTGTCTGGAAAGAAATGAACTGTCCCTATCAAGATTGAGTTCTTTCGTCAAAACTTACAAAAAAGAAATGACACTTTAGTGTGACTACCATAATTTCCAATAAAAAAAAACTTGTGCCGTTGACATTCGCAGTCCCTCAAAAGAAAAAAAACAATACAAACCTGCTGCTTTGCGAAATTCTGCAGTCTACTTAGGAGATGAGCTTGCTGATTGGGATCCTGTAGTGGGTTGCCCTTCGTTATCTGAATCACGCACGTGAAATGGATTGACTTAGGAACAAAGATCTCTTATCATCAAGAGTACTGTACTAGCATACTAATCCATAGTGCATATAAACATTAAGAAAAGTCAAACTGAGAAGAAAAAATGTATATTTTGAAAGAAAAAAGTTCGCCAAAAAGAAAACAAGACGGATGGATAAACGTTGAAGAAGTCTAGACATACCGATCCACTGCGCGAGTCCTTTGTGCTGATCGCTTTTTCAATGTCCTCTAGGCGCATAGCACGCACACCTCCAGGTCCCACCACTGTTGGAGGCATCGAGGGATTTCCCTACAATCAAAGATATTGTGCTGAAAACCCTTCCATCACATCAATAAGTACAAATAGGGAAGAAGAAAAATGAACATAATCCGAAAAAAGATTGTCACACCTGGCTGCTCTGTGGTGTCTGTCCACCCGATGACGGGGTTTGCGCGAAAATTCTGGCCAAAAGCGGATTTGCTGACTGAGTCTCATCCTGACTGCTGCGAGTATTTTGTGATGATTCGTTCGCTGAAACGTGATTTTGAGAGCACTAAACTTCACCGATGATAATGCATACTTTGATGATTGCTCTTCGAGAAGCGACTAAGCAAACTACCCCTATTGGTCGATGTACTTTCGTCTGGCGTAATTGTTGCCTAGGAACATAGAAATAACACTGAAAACTTAACATTCAAGAGGAATCATAACTACCTTATCAAAAAGGCTAGCCATTGCAGTATCATCCGGCATATCAAGAAGACCTAAGATCGCTGCCAATTCAGCATCAGATTCCGGTAATGCTGGTCCAGTATGATGCGTTACAGAGCCTTAAAATTACTTTACATCACAGCACAAAAGTAAGCGACCTAATGCATTACCTGACTCATCCATACTGCGCGATTTCTCAACTTTTCCGTTTTCAAGTGAATCCTTCCTAGCTTCCGATTTTTTCTCCTTATCTTTCTCCTTTTCTTTATCTTCTTTCGCGCGACTTCCTCCCTTCTTGGATTCTGTAAACAAAGGTTCACTGCACTACAGACTACATGTAATATGAACACATTACAACACAAAAAATGAGCAAAGAACACACTTTTCACAGGCTCCTCAAATCCGCGCAACTCGATCATGTCGTCCATAGTCGTAGCCCCGTCAGCCCATTCTGGAATGCGCTCTCCACGTTCCTCTCTGGAAGACCATAGTAGTCATCACAGACAAAAATTTATAAAGTAAACTTTGGGAAAATATGAGTGAAGTTCGATAAAATATGGACTACATACAAAAAAGTAACTTCCAGCATAGATCTCGATCAATGTTCAATTTCGATATTGATTACAAAGCACAAGAAATTACAGCGCACGTGCACAGTGACGCAACTTGTCATCGTTTGATAGTTAGGCAAAAGACAACAAAATTGTTTGACAAGTTCAAATATAAAAAAGATGAAGATCCTGATCACCTGTTCTTTCCCTGCGAATACTTGCCACCACCCATGGATGGACCGCGATCCTTCATTTCAGAACGCCATGAACCGGTTGAATTCGTACCAGCGCCACGTACATTCGACCCCGTTGATCTTTGCTGAAATGATATCCGGATGGAAAACTTTGGCCAAATCCTATATTTTTGCATAACGTACAAATGGTAACTTGAAGTCATTGCCCTTTCCAGAATACTTTTCCGAACCGCCATTCGAACCGCCTCGCCAACTCTTCGAATTGTTCGTTCCGACACGGTCACGATCACGTTCAACACCGGTCCATCCTCCCTCACTGCCGAAACCGCTGCTGCTAGGAGCGCCTGAAGACGAGTCATGAGAACGCTGCGCTATAAAGCAAAACCATCACACACAAGCTTACCATCCTTCCCCTTCTCCTCGGCTGGTGCGCGACAACCACCAGAGAATCCACGCCGTTGCGGAGACAAACCAGCATTCTCGTCCATAGCCCCTGAAAAACTCTGTGCAGAAAAGTTCTTATGTAAGTACTGCAAAGAACAACTGAAGGCATTGCTGCGCCGTAAGTACTTCATTATAGAGGAAATTCAAACAAATACTTTCTAAAAATTACCAGAAGATTCAGACAACGATAACAAAAAGTAGTCTAGAAGTTAAGATTGTAATCATGTCTTCGAAGGTAAAAGTTTGTAACAGGCAACCCAGACACTCAAAAAAGTTCTATTTCAAGTTCCTCGCAATTCTCTTCCCCGCATCCATAGTAGAAGATCTCCAACATCAACGAGTGCGCTCCTGATAAACACCGAGAATCGCTGATAGGGATGCTCAGAGTAAAAATCTTTCCGAGTATGGCAGAAACTCTACAATCCAAGGAAACGAAATGATAATTGTAGTTTGCCACTTGCATGAAAATAGTGATATGTTAGATAACCACAATTATTCCGCAGAAAACGATCATTAGGTTTGGGATAAACAGTGGTACCTGCCAATACTGTTTTCATAGCAGTACTTCTAAATGCTGACATTCTAAACCTTTCATGCAAACCGAGCACAAATCCAACTTTCAGCAAGTTTCAGTCCCCATGCACGCTTGGCGTAACTCCTAGAACTAACTTCTTTGGATACAATGTTCATGACAACTAATCACGCGAGTTTTCAAAACTCGAGGTGCGAAGATGCCTGTCATGCTTTTTACTATATGCTTCAGCAACGTTGTGTGTTGTAAAAGACAGTAATGCAATATCACCACTATTTACCTCATTTCTACCATAGAGAAAATAAATGAAAAAAAACGCCCGTAGAGAAAACATGGGCTAGCTAGCTGATCGAACTTAGCCTCAGACGATCTTCGGAAAGAAAGAAAGAAAAGCAATATTTTTCGATGACTTAAACTTGAAATGCAAATTCAGTGAGCAACTTAAAATGCTGACAACGTCAACGCCAAATTAGGAAATACAATGACAATTCGTGTAAAACTTTTTGCAAATGACAACACTGCAACCCACACACATTAGTCTGACAGATACGCACACATAACTCTGACGTGTATAATGATTCAAAAGGACAATATGGCACTTGTTTTTGATACTACTCATAAGGTACGGGAAGAAACCTCCTAGGTGATAAACATTTGGGACTACATAGGGAAAAATACTATGCAGTAAGTGATATTTGCTCTCTTCTTGCCAGACTCATCCCTAACATTAAGTACAGTACGAGTTCATATGATACACTGCAGAGAACGACAGGTGAGACTACAACAGGACGTGGGCGATGCTTAGTTCCAAAACAGGATGTAATCAGTTTTTGAAAAAAAATCAAGATAGAAGATGAAAAAACTAACCCTCAAAAAATGACTTGGACTACCATTACAAACCACTCAAAAAGCGCCCAAGTACATGAAAGCCAACCAATTACACGGAAAATTGCATACACCCCTCTTATTCACTGATATTACGTTGTGTTTCCCGAAGACCCGGCTGCAGTGAGTCATCGTTGCAGGCAGGAGGCACGCGGCCTACTTAAGTGTTTTCACTACAAATGATGACCAACGTGATCCACGCTGTAGAAAAAGGATGCTTTACTAGAAGGGGAACAGGTCTAACACTAGTATACTATAAACGAGTGCCCTCTTTGCCACAAATTCAGTAGGCCTATTATTGCCCCCAATCTGTCATCAGCGATCGATGTCAACAAGATGAACAATGAGCAAAAATTGCAGAAAAAACTAACAGAGCAGCCATTTGGGCAATGTCACCATTGTTGCGAAAGCAACTATACTAAAGAGGCAAAAGTATGAGGTGAATTTTTAAAATGTCAATGAGTTGGGAAATGCAAAGTTGATAGGAAAGACCGCGCTCTGAGAAATTTTCTGAAAATTTTTCGACAGTGCTCGGTGGTGGAAACAAATATACAGAAAAGAATAATTTGTGATTCCATCGCACCGCTTTCCCACGTTGTATTCATCAGTGAGCTATTTACATAAATAAGAGGCCGAATAAACGTTTTGAGGGGTGCTTTCCCCTTTTTTCAATCATCATCGATTAGTGAGGCATTGATTGCGAAAAGAACGAGAAAAAAGCCAAACATCAGTCATGCCAAGAATGCAAGCAAAACACAAACCTGCATTGAGCGCATCCTGTAGCTTCTTCGTCGGTGCACGATTTTTGATACCCTCAACTTCCCAACGATGTTCCAACCATTTGTACGGCGAGAATTTGCCATCATCACTGCAAGCATAGACAAAATGAACAATGGAAAATTAGCAAGAGGAAAAAAACTAACACAATAACATAGATAAAGTCTCAAGTAGGGAAAACAGCAAAAAACTTACCCATTGAATTCGACAGAAAGATTTTCAGGACGTTGAAGGCTGAGAGGGACAGTGGACAAGCGAATCATTTCGTCTCGATCATACCGGAATCCGTGACCCGTTCGCGGTATGAACTTTTGTTCTAATAAATTTGATACAAGAGGATGGACCTCGTTCTCCTCATCTGACTGACTGGACATATTTACACTGAAATGAATGTCATTGCAAACATGCACACATATGACTAGAAATAACTTCGCTCAATAACAAAACATAAAAGTGCGGAGGTACGGAAATTGGCTTAAGTCCAGAATTCAATGAGCAAACAATAGATGGAAATAACAAGAGTGGTTTACAAAACTTCCCAAGAAACAAGCTCTGCAATGCAATAAAACCGCCAAACCTGGGAGGGTAACCGATAAATCTGAGCATTTTCGCACTTCCTCCCAGTCAACAACAATGAAGAGCCGAACTGAACCACATACCAAAAAAGAAAACACGCCCACATACAAGGTGAATTGAGGAAATAGACATGACCTGACACGTTCAAACGCATCCAAACGTGTCCACCCCAAATTTCACTCACATTTCTCTCGGGACGACTCAGCTCAGCAACAAATACGCTATAGCTGCCAAAGATGACGTCATCAAGTAAAAAAAACATCCCAAAATCCGCGCTAAGCAATCGATGACGTTGGAAACTCGACATTTCCGCGAACTCGATCCATAGGTTGAAAAGTGTAGCACACGATGCGCCAGCCACTACGGTATTGGCGTCAATCGGCGCACCAAAAGTGTATGGGCTCCGCACGGAGAATCGTGTTTCCTTTAAATTTGGGACTTTCGCTCAATTTATTCGGAGGATTTTTATTTCTTCAGCATTGTTTTTCTGTTTAGTTTGTTGTTTCGGGGCTTCTCTTGTAATAATTGATCGGGACTGTCCGTTGCAAAAGCTGTAGAGCAGTGGGCGGGTTTTCATCAATTGATCGTTTCTTTTGAAGGTTTGCAAGGCCTATAAATTTGAAATGGATAAGGCAAAGAAATTAGAAATTTGAAATGGATAATTCAAAGAAATACTTGTTTGTGAGATTTGACTTATTTTCGACATCATGGGTCTTGGTCTGCTTGATTCAATCATTATTTTTCAAAATTTGGGCTCTGCAGCAGGAGGACTCTTTTATGTGTCGTTAGGAGGAATTATCTCGATTCTTCCTTTGGGGACCGGCCATACTGTTCCAACCTGCGATTCCTGTAATTCCTGCAAATCCTGTCATTCCTCAACTTCCGATGTGCCGCACTACGGAGCGCTCTGCGAATTTCAAAATACATTGTTTTTTCGCAATATACATTGTTATGGCACCCACAGGAACAGGAATTCCAGAAATCACAGTACAGTATGGCCGTTTGTTAAATTTATCAGTAAACCGACACCCACTCTTGTAAACGATGGCTTAGCGTTCGCAAGAATATCTTTTTAGAGAGGTTTAGTACAATTTTTGAAAATCATATTGCTGCGCTCTGTCATTTTTTTTTGGAACTTGTTTTAGAGTGTTTGCCTTATCGTCTTGCATTTGCTTGAAGAGTAGATCTATTGTGATATTTCCGTAGGCTGAACAGGTTTTTTTAAAAAGTAACTATCGTATCTTCAGTGTGACAATCTTGTTGAATTTTATGAAGACCTGAGCCACGTATGCTGATGGCGATGCTAATTCAAAATCTATATTCCGCGCAGAAAATCTTTGAGGGAGACCGCTTGTTGGCGATTTTAGTCAGACCCATGGGTTGCAACAATGGATACAATTTGCTCAACAGAACCTGTAGACAAATTTGTCAAGCTGGTTAGCCTCTAAACTTGGAAATTTTAAATGCCGATTACGTAGGTTTTGACTGTTCATGAAAGTTATACACATAAATGCCTTTATGTATCTTTGCAACGGAGGGAACAATCAAGCTACCAACAGAGCGTAGTTTCCAAATGTATAATTTGTGTATGCGAAGGCCACATAGTGTCAGTGCGTCGGGGACAACACTTGCGCGTAAAAATGGCCGTGGCGCGAAACTTGAGAATATGGCACTATGGTCAGATCTGTCCGGGAGTGCTTCGTCATTACAAGCATAGCTTTTTACGCGTAAGTGTTGATAATGCAGGAACCCGACGTTAATTGTCAAATCTACTAGACTGTAGCTCCCCTGTAAGTCGTTGCTGAATTGTGTTTCGCTTTACATCTTCGAGGAGCTTCTATTCAGAACTGAAAGGACCTTGAGATCTTGTTGCACCTTCTACAAAACTTTTTATATTTCATTCATTTTAGCAAGAGACTGGGGTAAAGCCCCGCTTAGACTTCTTTCAAAAGCGCCCAAATTTCTCTGTCTCTTCACTTTTTCGTGCGAGGGAGAGGTGAAAGAATCAGAGAAATTTGGGCGCTTTTGAGCGAAGTCTGGCCGGAGCCTAAGTAAGTCAGCATGATAATCAAAAACATTTTCATTCATTCCTCAAACCGAAGATACGCTCTATGTGACGTACTTGTTCATAGAAAAGTTGACAGTTTTGCTTAGCTCGATTTGGACCCCTTCATTTTCTTTCATTTGCAATACTTTTGTTTTTTTAGAGCTTGGTTTCCGCTAAACATGGCGGTCGGTAAGAATAACAACAAAATGGGCAAAAAGGGCGGCAAGAAAAAGGCCGTAGATCCCTTTGCTCGTAAGGAGTGGTACGATATTAAAGCGCCTTCGATGTTCTACAATCGCCAAGTCGGCAAGACGCTTATCAACAGGACACAAGGAACTAAGATTGCCTCGGAAGGACTTAAGGGTCGTGTGTTCGAGGTCTCATTGGCTGATCTGAACGACTCTGAGGCCGACTTCAGGAAGTTCAAGCTTGTATGCGAAGATGTACAGGGAAAGAATGTGCTCACAAACTTCCACGCTATGTCCATGACCCGTGACAAGCTGTGCTCCATTGTCAAGAAGTGGCACGTAAGTTCATTTTGTAACTTAGGTTTTATTATTATATATTGATTCTCCGTTTTTTGTTCTTCTGGTGGCTTTTTTTCATATTTTGCACCATTCAGACCCTTATCGAAGCCAACGGCGTGTTCAAGACCACCGATGGCTACGTCCTTCACCTGTTCTGCATTGGTTTCACCAAGCGATCACCTAATCAGGTCAAGAAAACCACATACACAAAAGCCTCCAAGGTCCGAAAGATCAGAGCTAGAATGCTTGAGCTGATGAAAAGAGAGGTTAGTGATTTTTTCGATATTTATTTTTGAATTCTTTTTTTGTGAGCAACATTTGCATAAGCTCATTTTAACACATTGACGACCACGCAGAATTTCAGTTGTCTGCCTTCAGGGACCAAGTCTTTCGCGAATCAGCCCACAAATCCCAACTATAATTATGCATAATGCCATCTATAGTACACCTACAGTAGATCTGAAAGGCTGGCAAAAAAAGTAGAGGTTATCCCTAGATTCAGTGCAAAAGAGAGCTTATGGAGTGAGTTTATCTCAAGATGGTGGTCATTTTAACAAAATTCAAGCCTTGACACAAATGGTGTGTCAAGCGGTCCCACGCGGTAGTCATTGCTTGACACACCATGTGTGTCAAGCTGTCGTCAATGTGTTAAATGATTTTGAAGCGGATTTTCGAGATTGAGTAAGGAGGGGTGGGTGTAATGCCTGCTATGTTACCAAATAGTGAATCATTGTAATGAGTACGAGTTTAGCTGCAGGTAATGCCTCAGATATCAATCAGTAACCTTTTCGACTTCAAAAACCACTGGTATTTTTCTTAAGGAGGGGCAGAAATTGCTGCTATATAAAGTTCGGCATCATCCATGCAAGAATCTGCAGAAAGCTGCATAGTAAAACAGTCTGGATTTGGAAAGTAAAAGTTGCTTCGTATGTGGAAATAGCCTTGATTTATCTTTTTTGGCGATACAAGTTCGTCTTCCGTAGCGCTGCAGCAAATTCAACAGATGCGAATGTTGCTGTTCGATGGTTTTTTCATCAGTGAAAAGCTTTTAGTGCTTTCTCGTACGATGCGCTGTGATTAATAACCCGGACTTGTATCTCAAGGCGAAAGAAGCTGTTGCTTACTTCATGGGCTCTTTTAGTTGAGGGCACACCCACTCTCGTTCTTTTTGCTCTTTTCATGATATTCACGCGTTTTACCAATTTTCATAGTTTTCTATAAAACCGTTTTGGTCATCAAAGAGAGGGTTCTGAAGATGATAAGAGGTAGTGGACTCAAAACATCCTTACTCTTCAATGTATAATACACTAGTAGTGAAAGATCCTTCACTTCAACTGAACTTATATTTGAAACCAGGCAGATTCGTTATCTCGACGAGTAGTTTATAATTCGTTTTCCTCAATATCTATGGCATATGCTTTCTGCAGTCGCGAGTCTAATGTGGAATCCTTTCAATTCAACCTAATGACTGCAGTTGCGCGCTATATTTCTGTTGAGTTCCTATGTCAAATCACTGTAGCTTCATGTGATTTTTGATTTTTCACAGCCGTCCATCAGAGCAAATATCTGAGACTTGTTGTAGTAGTGAATTTTTTGCGATTTTGGTTCCAGGTTTCCGGATGTGACCTGAGAGAAGTGTGCTCAAAGTTGATCCCAGACTCGATAGGCAAAGACATCGAAAAGGCGTGCCATGGACTTTACCCACTTCAAGACGTGTACATTCGCAAAGTTAAAATCCTGAAGAAGCCTCGTCTCGATATTGGCCGCCTCATGGAAATGCACGGAGACTCCGTTACTGTTGGCGCAGATGGTGAGAAGGTTGATCGTCCTGACGACTATGAACCTCCAATTCAAGAAACCGTCTAATTGTTTTTTGTTATGCCTCGGGCTATAAATGTTATTGATTGTTTATTAAGCGCAGTTACGCATTTATAATACTATCAACAAAATATTTATGAGATCTATAACCCAACAATGCTTATACGAGTACATACAACGATTAGGCGAGTGCCAGTGAAGATGGAGTGATGTGTTGGCGATTAACGGCGGAGACTTTATCTTATCCAAATGGATTACAAATAGGGAAGATGTCGGAGAATTCACAACCTTCATCACAGCATTTGTGCATAATCTTTTCGAGCGAGCTGCTTTCCTCAAGTGCATTGTCGACGCTCCGTCGTCTTCGCCGCATGGGGCAGATCAAGTTGAATGCATCAAGGAAAGAGGGTCCACCTGGAAAAAGCATGACATTACTTGCCAGCCCCAGCTGGGGAAGTTTAGACTCACCTGGTGGACAGAGTTTGAGTGAACCCGGTTTAGCTTTCCGCTGCCGGACTTCCCTGTTGACTGATGGTGGTCGCGCGAAGATCCCAAATGTGTATGATAATGCAACCAACGCTAACAACAGCAGCACGGTTTGATGCATACCTGGTAATAGACAATGTTTACCACTGAGCCGTCATGAAAGAGTCACGACATAGACTGCGAAACAAAATGCGTGGAATGGGATCGTAATAAATATGGAGTTACGGAAACCGAGAGATCTGGAGAGCGGTAAATATGGACTCATTCTGCGGATAGAAAGAGAGGAGGATTTGAATCGTGTGGCCGTATTTATCAACGAACCCAGTGAGTTCCGCTACCCAGTGGTTAGGCTTGAACCACGAGATCGATATTCAAGAAGCTGATAGGTTCGCGAACCCAGCAGTGCTTTTTGTGAATATTGATCCAACCTGGTGACACTGTTTCGCTTACCCAATGGGTAGGGTTGAGTTCTGTTCGTTGATGAATACGGCCACTGTTGTGCAGTGAGTAACGACTCAAAGGCATCGGAACCGCGCCGCTACGTCCACGTCGGAACAGTTTCGACGTCTGTGAGTCGGCGCGAGAGAATCTAGGCAGACAATAAGCGATAGTTGCCGGTCAACGGTGGCAAATTGTGAATTGTTCGCATGGAGTGTCCACGACTGACTACTCATTTCTTAAAAATGTGATGTTTGTTCTCGAAACCTATGAAAAGGCAAAGAACACAAAAGCTCTATGGTTTATCAAGAATTGTTTGCACACCTTATCTTTAGGAAATTCGAAGGTTTCAAAAACGGAATCAACCTTGAACTTGAATCAACTTGAAGAGTTATTTCTCTACTTCACCAAAGATCTGCTAGAGGAACAAACCAGATAGTTATCATTACCAATTGAAGTCATAGTCATAACCTTAGAGACCATGACGAACACGGAAGAAAACAAGCAACATTCGATTTGGCAACTCATAATATAAAAAAAAAATCAGAGACCATTCTCCTAAGCTGAGTTCAAAATTGGGCTTAGTTGTGTGTGGTTGGAGTAGATGTTTTTCTCCAATGGTTCATCGCTGTTTGCGTGGGAAATCTAATTTTGAGAATGTGAGAGATCCATATTTATGCCAATGGGTTCAAAAGCAACTCTCTTTGAACGTATTATGAAATTTCAAAAAGTGAATAAATGTGAATCCTTGAGGAATCCAGAAAGTGAGTGAGTCTGCTAATGAGATAAATATATATAACTATTAGAACATAGGCGTGTCAAAAGTTTGACCTTTAGTATGGGCACAAAGCAAATAGTTTAGTATTTTTTTGAAAAAGTTTAGCGTTAATGGTTGTTTACATGAAAGTAGGGAACTTCTGTGAAAATTAGCAATTAAAATGCGTAGAAATCTAACGCCAGTCGATTAGATAACTTTTGGCGAAAGATTACGCATTTGTGATTTTGGCGTCTATACTTTGTTGCTCCAGCAGCGCGGTGTAAATTTCCCGCCGACATATGACGCGTCCGCACTCCGGACCAAGATTGAGGCGGAAAAATTTGAGAATGGAGTGTGCGACAAGTATCTGTTGTTCTGAAGCCTATTGTTGTGCTGTGGAAATAATGACTGAAGACGAATTCGAGGAAAATATGCACAAAACGGACAAGAACGATTTTTTGCTTTTGCGAGCGGCTGCACCGCGGTTGTGGCATGGCTTTGCTGAAAGCATGCCTGCAGATATATAAGTACTGTGAATGACAGATCATGCATTCTAGAAAAGATTTCTTCATCCAGTTTTGAAATAATACAAAAAGAATTAGTCCAAATCAAAGTGTGGGTGAAGCGAATTTTTCAAACGTCTTCTCAGCTTTGAAGTACTTGGCCAAGATTATCCCCGGAACTTAAATAATGATGGCAATATTTTAGGAAACTTCGAGAATTTTCTCATGGACTATTGAGATTGTGACTGAGATTGATGTCATAGGGTACAATTTTAGCAAAACGCAAATTGTTCCTTTTTCTGTAAGGAACTCGATGAGATCAGAGGAAAAGGACATTGCGTGAGTCAGTACACGAAACGATGTAAGGAGTATCCACGAGAAAACAAATGTGTGGAGTCAACATAAACGAAAACATAAGATATTTGAATAGCCCCCCCCCCCCTCCTAGCTGCCCTTCCTTTCCCCTGCTTGTCTTTTCTTTGAGGTGGGGCCTTCATGTGTTATCTGTTTCTGTTGAGTGAATATAAGTGGGGTGTAAAAAATTTTGCCAAAATTCTATTCTTTATTAGTTTTTTGTCATAATAGTTAATGTTGTGTTTTGTAGTACAAACTACAATAATAAAAAAATGAAAATCGTTACTAGTTTTAAAAAAAATCTATCAGCGCAGTTTTTCGTGGAAGTACATAGGTGACGGAACGTTCATAAACAAACATTAGTTTTACTAGAATTTTTACATTTTTTGCCTACTACATAATTCATTGAACTTTCAAGTTCTGTGCGTATTCTTTACCAGCAGATATCGCCAACAATATCTTGGCTCTATCTTGACTTTAGAGATCCAAAAAGTGCATGAGCGAAATCAAGATTTATGGAAAGTGGACAACCAAATTATTTTCCACTTAGAAGATATTTGCAACCTAATTCATGAGGGAAAGGCGAGCAGAAGGATGAATATCGCAAAGAAAATGATTTTCGAAGCATGGGAGTGCCATACGCCTACTCGCTCTTTGACTCGATCAAATCCATTGAAAGATTTTATGAACATTTACGTTCACATAAATCTGACCCTGTGATACATAAAGTAATAATTCGAGGGAAGGGCGTTGCACTTTTGATAAGTCATACGAGAACTATAAGCATGAGATAAAAGAAAAGTTAAGATTTTACTATAGATCTTCAAAAAAGTCAGAAAAACGTTAGAACGAAAGCAGAATTGCGCTTTTCAAACAATTACAGGTCTGAAAAACAGAATTATTGCAAAAGTTAAAGCTAATCATATTTCCGATGAAAGAATCTCACGTATGATTGCAGTAGCAGATTTATGCAGTGATGATAGTGTTGATGGCTTAAATCATCATTTCCTACAAAATTTCTCGTCATTCCTCTCAATTTTTTCCTTGAACACATCGCTTTCAGAGAGGAAGGATGTGACGCAAATGCAAGTTAGCAAGCTTTTGCTAGCTTGTTAGAAGTAGCATTCATCTCTATCAGTTTCCTTCAAAAAGTATGGTGCCATACGAAAAGACGTATCTATATTACTGTAGATCAAGAGAGGAAGACACGATAACCTTCTTATCTCTCAGGGAAACCTCTAGAAACTGTAATTGCTAGAAGAGTATCATCCTGCCAGTCAGGTTTTACGAGGAGAGTGAGGTTTTGAATTATTTGGATTTGTAACGAATATTAATACTCAAAGACTAAAAATGAGTCTATTGATGATCAAGATAGAAAGATACAATGACTTCTCATTCCTATGAAACACTTTCATAAACGAGAAACATGTTAAACAGCAAAACAGGAGGAGAAAATGCTGCGCAAGCTGATTGATGCTTACTTATAAACTCGTTATCTATTAAGGTAAACACAGACAAGCATGTAAACCTAATTGTATTTAGAATCTGATTAAAATTCGTCAGATAGGCGTCATTCCAACATCATGCAATTGATAAGATGATGGTATGTCAATCATTCAATGCAGCAATGCAAACACCAAATTATATGTCGAAAATAGGATGGAAAATAAACAAAAACTATTGTTTTCCTTCTATGTAGTTCAAAAGTCGCATTAAACATCAGACTCTTTCCGAAAATAGTCCATTTTTGGAGAAATTTGCACTGCTTATTTATTTTTCTTCAGCTTCGCGATTTGAAACTTTTTTTTTCAGAAAACACAGTCAAAGCCGATAGTAGATTAACCATATTGAAAAAATTCTGAAAAAATTTCAATTGTTCAAATCATTTTCATGCTAAAATACACTTAAAAACGCTAAAAAGTGTTACTTCAAATTACAAAAAAAAAACAGCATTATTTTGGGACGGGCTAATACAAGACTAAGAACGCAAAGGTTGGGCAAGAATGATTTTCTTTGCCATTTCACTCCCCCTCTCTCAGCAATAACGGAATGACCACATTCAACGTGTGTGATGAATGAGAATGAGATTGGAATCAGCGCGACCAATGGAGATGAATTGTAGCTTAGCTGATTCAGATAGGCATGTTGAGAATGTGCAGGGATTTCCGCAAATTCAGAATGTGAATAGGATTACTGTAAGTGGGAAAGGAGAAAAAATTTAGCTCGAGTGTTTATATGTATTGTTCATGAGCATTTTATGCATGAAGAGTCAATGTTGCAACATAAGTTGCAAAGGGATCAACGTGGGTAGATTATAGAGATTGTTCATTGTGCAGATCAATATAGAAGAATGATTTGCGTCAGTTTCAATGAAATATATACAAGAATTTTATAATTCCAATAGACACTGCGATTTTTTGGCTATTGCAGCAAGAAAATACGGGCAAATAATGTTTAAGCCTCACAAGTTTGTTAAGTTGTTGTTTCTCCAGTCTATCGTTTAAGTAAAA